CTCAGCAACCCACCCAGTACGCTGACCAGTCACCCACGCAGCCAGGGTGAGGCACCTGGACACGGACAAAGTTCTACTCTACCCTGGTGTAGTAGCCAGTTATTGTGGGTGGGCTGTATTACGGATTGTGTTTTGTGGGTGGGCTGCTGGACTAACAAGGGCACTGACCGGCAGGAGGTCAGATACCCTGTTAGTCTGATTGGTAAAGGGGAGAAGTGTGGCGAAACCAACCTCGCCACTATGCACTGGAGAAGCCTGGTTGCCAGCCTCCTGCCATCTGACTATGGCCCCCTTGTGAATTCGTACTTTTGTATGCAATATTTGGGCATGTGACATTTTTATATTGCTGCTACTGGCCCTTTAAGGGCCATCCGTGGACATATTCTGCCTGTTAGGAATAATGCCTTTTTAAGACTGTGTAGCAAATTGCATTCAGGCTGGATTTAATATTATGTGTTCGGTATAACTTGTTATGTGAATGCAGCATTCCCCTGATTGTTCGGTAGAATCACTTCATTCATTATATTGGGTGAAACTACCGAACAACCAGACCACCCGGGAGTAAGTGTGCCTCCAATTACCGTTTGCAACAATGTTGCAAACGGGTAATTGGCTATATGTGTACTGTGTGTTGTGTCCTCTGGGTGGCCGCCATTCGTGAAACGAACACGTGGCGGCGGCCATCTTAAACTCCTGAACAGCGGTGTTTTGCCGTCGAGTGTCTGGAACTAAAATCGGACACTCGACTAAGCAAACACCGCTGAGACCTCCAGACTTCCAGCAATTCGTGCAGAAACTACCGAACGGCCCGCCGTTCGGTAGAAAGGATCCCACGAACAGGGGGATTCATACGAATCCTCCCCAAGCTCTATAACCCAGGCAATTCGTGTGATTCATTCCCTTTTCTGTGACCGACTGCAGGGCCAAAGTACATGGAACTATTTTCGGATACTTTTGCCATGCAGTCGGTCAAAACTTTAACCCTTTATAATTCCTGAACCCCTGGTCCGATCTGGGTGATTTTTGGATATGTGTCTCACCCAGATCAGGGTTACCAGGGGATGTAACATTTAAAGGGGTATTCCTATGTTTAGGGGTACATCCAGTATCCCAGGGAATTTGTGTCTGTACTAATGGGATTATGTGTCACACTAAGGGGAGGAGATGTGTGGGAGGTAACTGGTACATTATTGGCTGGGGTACTAATTGTTGTGGATCCCTCCCTTGCATGGGAGAATGTCTTAAAAGGAGGCTGTGTGAATAAATCCTTAGATTCTGCTTAACCCTCAAAACGAAGTGTCGTCTCGTTATTGGGGGAATTGGATTGTGTGCTGACTGCCAGGAGTGTAAGCCGTTTGTATTGCTTTTCCTGTTCGGCTGCTTCCAGAGTTCGTGTATTTCTTGTTCGTGAGTTGGGGATTCGTACAGTTTGGAGTTCGGGAAGTTGGTGATTGCAATAGCTGCTGGTCTATGGGAAAGGGGATTATCGCCTAAACCGATTTTATCCCCTTGTGAGAGAAACGGTCCGTTACACATATGAATCCTCTCAAGCATATGAATGCTGTAGACAGTTGAATAGGAACCATACGAATAGGTTTACTCTCCTAGCAGTCAAACTGGAACAGCATACAATAAATCCTTCCCCCAATAATGAGACGACACTTCACTTTGAGGGTTAAAACAGGAACTCCCTGTACTGTCACATACAGTCTCTTTTATTCCCAATCCACAAACATAGTACAGCCCACAGGGCGTTACAAAACAACCAATCACATCACAGTTACATCCCACATATTCCCTCCCCTTATCCTGAGAGGAAACTCAATTATACATACAGTTAAAACATACTTTCTACCCAACTTTCATAACTCCAAAACCATACATCACATTCACATAAAATTACATATTCACAATCAATCCATTCAGGGGAACAACATATTCAAAAATGGCACAAATCAGACAAGGGGTTCAAAAGTTAGTAAAAAGTCCTTTGTGACTAAATGAAGCATGGCTTTCTGGCCCAAACCAGTTTCAGAGTCTTCTATCCTGGAGATAAGTAATTCAATTATCTCCCAGGACAGGCACAAGACTCCATTAAGCACATGGTTGCAAAAAGACACAAAACACTTTAAAATACATAAAGTCACATTTACACATAACACACAGACATTTCACATATCCCCAGATAGCTGGGATCTGAGTGCATTATTAGATGAATGGCACTCAGATCACACAAATAAGCCTTTCTGCAGGGGAAATAAACGGTTTAACCTGCAGGGCCATAGTCCAAAGGGAGCAGGCGAGCAACCAGGCTTCTCCAGTTCACAGTGGCGAGGTTGGTTTCGCCACAGTGTGTGTGTGTGTGTGTGTTAGTATGTCTGTGTGTGTGTTTTAGTATGTGTGTGTGTGTTAGTATGTCTGTGTCAGTATGTCTGTTTGTGTATGTATGTCAGTATGTCTGTGTGTGTCTATGACAGACATACTGACATACACACACAGACATACTGACACATACACACACACAGACATACACACACACTGACATACACACACAGACATACACACACAAACATACTGACATACACACACAGACATACTAACACACACAGACATACTGACATACACACAGACATACTGACATACACACACAGACATACTAACACACCACACAGACATACTAACACACACAGACATACTAACACACACAGACATACTGACATACACACACAGACATACTAACACACCACACAGACATACTAACACACACAGACGTACTGTGTGTATGTCTGTGTGTTTGTATGTCAGTATGTCTGTGTGTGTATGTCAGTATGTCTCACTGTGTTCCAGTGTGTGTGTGTGTATGTCAGTATGTCTGTGTATGTCAATACGCCTGTCAGTGTATGTGTCTGTGTGTGTCTGTGTCAATATATCTGTCAGTGTATGTGTCTGTGAGTATGTATGTGTCTGTGTGTGTATCAGTATGTCTGAATGTGTGTCAATGTTTGCCAGTATATATTTTTGTGTCAGTGTATGTGTGTCAGTATGTATCTGCAAATGTTTTAATGTGTCTGTCTGTGTGTGTGTCAGTATGTCTGTCAGTGTGATTGCGGGTTGGGCGTAATGGGGAGGGAGGGTGCAGTGACAGGGCCCAGGGGGCCCAAGAAAAGGCTTTGCCGGGGTCCTATTCATATTATAGACTGCCCTGCGTCCACTACTAACGTAACGTCACTTCCGCCCTTACTATGCCCTCATCTCCTGTTTCTTCCTTTCCCATACATATCATGGCCATTATTTCCTCCTTCACCCCGCCATCACTTCCTTCCCTTGCCCCCTATCATGGCTGCCTCCATCATGAGGCCTACACCTATTATGCTGGTCTTATTTAGGGCCATGCTACTTTCCTTAAACTCTACATATTATGGACAGGAAAATTATAAATTACTAAAACAAGCTTCCTACCTGTTTCACTGTATCAGAAATGTGTCAGTGACAATATGTACTATAATACAGTTTCTATATAATAATTAATGGTTTAAAAAAAGGAAAAAAATGTGTAATTTACTAAGGTGTTTTAACTTTGTAAATATCTGAACTATAATTGAGAAATATTGCTAAGATGCCTTTTGCAGCTGCGCTGTCGGCATAACAGCTGATTTTCTAGATGAATATACAGTAATGCCTGTGTTTTGCCACAGAGGGAAATAGCCAAATCATGCAAGTTCTTTAGACCTACCACACATTTTCTTGTAAGACTACATCTATGCAGTGGCCAGTTTTTCTGATTTTAACATTGTATCTTCACTTAATCGAATCTTGCTAGTTGAAGTTCGTATGTTTATAGTAACATCCTTAATGTTGAATGTTTTAGCGATAGAATAATTTGTGACATGTTTTATTAACTCAGGCTCTACTGGGTATTCGTTTAAGTTACAGAATGGTATAATTTTCATGTTTAAAAAAATACTGTTATCATTAGGAGGTTTGTTCAATACAATTTGAATTGGACTCTTAAAGGACCACTATAGTGCCAGGAAAACATACTCGTTTTCCTGGCACTATAGTGCCCTGAGGGTGCCCCCACCCTCAGGGACTCCCTCCCTCCCGGTTCTGGAAGGGGGAAAGGGGTAAAAACTTACCTTTTTCCAGCGCTGGAGCTCTCCTTCACTGATCCTCCTCCTCTCCTCCCCGTCGGCTGAATGCGCACGCGCGTCAAGAGCTGCGCGCGCATTCAGCCGGTCGCATAGGAAAGCATTATCAATGCTTTCCTATGGACGCTTGCGTGCTCTCACTGTGATTTTCCCAGTGAGACTCACGCAAGCGCCTCTAGCGGCTGTCAATGAGACAGCCACTAGAGGATTAGGGGGAAGGCTTAACCCATTAATAAACATAGCAGTTTCTCTGAAACTGCTATGTTTATAAAAGAATGGGTTAAGCCTAGCTGGACCTGGCACCCAGACCACTTCATTAAGCTGAAGTGGTCTGGGTGCCTAGAGTGGTCCTTAAATAGTTGATAACATGAGAATTATGCTGACCGTTATTTACATCAATTATTTAGGTTATAATTTAGAACAGGGTGTATGTGTACAAGGATACAGACTGGGTTTGTGGGTATTGACATGAATGTGTGAGGATACTTATATGGTCTTTATATTTATTGTTACATTACGTTGGTTCCAATGTGTCAGGTGGTGAATCTGTTGTCTATAAAACATTCTATAAAGAAATCCTCTTTGAGATTGAAATCTGATTATATGTTAAGATAACGTGCCCTACTTCCTGTTATTACTGATCTTTATATAAAATAACCTTTACCTCAGGGAAAAAAAGAGATTTTTAGAAAAAAATATTATTGACCTGAGCTGCAAACAGAAATTCCAGCTCTAGCTACATTGGAGTTTGTACAATGTGCGGAAGGTTTGAGGAGTTATTTACTCATTATTTCCATGGATTCCACTTCAACAATTGATAATCTGGAATCCAAAGTCCATGAAATACGCCCAGTTCTTTTCAGTGGTAATAGGACTTTGGTTTTCACTCTTTTTGCTGCTTTCAGTGATGGCGTCTGTTGATCTGAGAGATGAACTGACCTGCTCAATCTGCCTGAACATTTATACCGATCCTGTACCTGTAACCTTGATATGTGGCCATAGATTCTGCCAAGACTGCATCACAAAAACATTGGACAACCAGAGTGGCAGAGAATATTCCTGCCCTGAAGGTAAACATGGCTTTATAGTAGTGGAGAATTTTCTATCTACTCGCCCAGGGCAGAAGGAGGTTGGGATCCCCTGTACTTATTGTGTTCACTCTCTTGTACCTGCTGCTAAAACATGTCTTCATTGTGAAGCTTCTCTGTGTGAAACCCACCTGAGGGTCCACAGTAAGTCACCAGAACATGTTTTAATTGAACCCACCACTTCACTAAGGAATAGAAAATGCTCCGTCCACAAGAAAGTCTTGGAGTATTACTGCTCTAAGGATGCAGTCTGTATCTGTGTATCCTGCAGACTGGATGGACAGCACAGGACACACAAAGTAGAGACTCTCAATGAGGCCTCTGAGAAGAAGAAGAAGAAACTAAGAAATATTATGGAAAAACTGACCTCAAAGAAAAAGGAGGCTGAGAAAAGAGTTCAAAGCCTGCAGGAGCTCAGGAGACAAGTTCAGGAAAAAGCTGCGGGAGTAACAGAGCAAGTTGGTGCCCTGCTTAAGGACATTATGAAACAACTAAAAACGCTAGAGAAGAGAGTCCTGAATGAGATCTCAAGGCAAAAAGAGCAAGTCTCACTCCGGGTCTCAGATCAAATCCAGCAGCTGGAAATAAAGAAAGAGGAGCTGTCCAGGAAGATGGGTCACATCGAGGAGCTATGTAACATGACGGACCCATTAACTGTCTTACAAGGATGTGAATCAGACAGCGATGACTATTGTGATACTGAGGAGGGAGATAATGAGGACAGAGAGAGAGATGATAACAAGGTCCGTGCTGTGGGAAATCTGGATGTGGGTCTGATCTCAGTGACCTTACACTCAGGGTTAGCTGGGATTGTGACTGGAGTAAAGAGACAACTCCATGTACCGGATTCTTCAGACATGTTACTAGATGTAAACACGGCTTCAGACATTTTACTAGATGTAAATACGGCTAGTAATGATGTTACTGTATCAGATGATTTCAAAACTTTATGTAGATCAGAAATAAGCCAGAGTCGCCCAGAAACTTCAGATAGATTTGAGAAGAATCAGGTTTTAGGCAGCAGGAGCTTCTCCTCGGGGCGACATTACTGGGAAGTGGAGAGCAGTGAATCAGGGAGATGGATCGTAGGGATGGCCTATCCTAGAATTGCCAGAAAAGGGCGTCAGTCAGTGATTGGATATAATAACAAGTCCTGGGGTTTGTGGAGGTGGGATCATGATGAATATTCTGTGATACATGAAAGTAAGGAAATTCTGTTAACTCACCGCCCTTCCAGCCAGAGATTAGGGATATACCTGGACTACGAGGCTGGGCGGCTGTCCTTTTATGAGCTGTGTGAGCCCATCACACACTTACACACCTTCACTGCCACCTTCACTGAGCCGCTTCATGCTATATTTGGAGTAGATTTTCAGTTTCTCAAGGTACATCATAGATCATTTCAGTCTGTAAATTCTTGGCTTAGAATCATTCATTAGTGATCGGTTTCTGAGCAAAACCTGTTACTAAGCAACTCCTGTTATGTTTATTTTATGTGTCACTGTATGTGCATTACGGGGTCTGTCACTATATGTGTGATTGTGTGTGTATATCACTGTGTATGTGGATCATGGTGTGTGTCAGTCTATGTAATTGTGTGTGTCACTGTGTGTATGTTTGTCGTGGTGTCTGTCGCTATATGTGTGATTGTGTGTGTCACTGTGTATGTGGATCATGGTGTGTCAGTCTATGTAATTGTGTGTGTTGCTGCGTGTATGTTTGTCGCGGTGTCTGTCACTATATGTGTGATTGTGTGTGTAACTGTGTATGTGGATCATGGTGTGTGTCAGTCTATGTAATTGTGTGTGTTGCTTATGTTTGTTACAGTGTCTGTCACTATATGTGATTGTGTGTGTGTCACTGTGTGTATGTTTGTCATGGTGTGTGTCAGTATATGTGTGACTGTCTGTGTGTCACTGTGTGTAGGTGGATCAGTGTGTCATTATATGAGTAATTGTGTGTCACTTCGTGTTATCATGTTATGTGTAATTGTGTACATGTTACTGTGATTTTCTTTGTAAAGAATTATCAGACAAGATACAAGTTTGCTCAGGACTCAGTCAGATTGGGAGATGGAAATTGACATATTTAAATTTGTGGTATAAGTTGTTAAAAAAATCTGAGCAGAACTGGTTGCTGGTGGTAGTGAGTGTGTTTAGTATTCTGCTCTGTGAGTAAGTGGATACACGTGGGGACCATGTACACTATATAATATTATTATTTTCATGGGGTTAATAACCCTGTTACCACACTCTTCCTCTCTCTGTTTGTTTTCAAGTAATGATAAGGAGTGGAGGGGGGAGGGGGCATTATTCCCTTTTTATATTTAACCATGTTTGTTTTAAAGGGACAGTAATGATAAGAAGTGGAGGGGGCGTTATTCCCTTTTTATATTTAACCGTGTTTGTTTTAAAGGGACAGTAATGATAGGAAGTGGAGGGGGCATTATTCCCTTTTTATAGTTAACCATGTTTGTTTTAAAGGGACAGTAATGATAAGAAGTGGAGGGGCTTATTCCCTTTTTATAGTTAACCATGTTTGTTTTAAAGGGACAGTAATGATAAGAAGTGGAGGGGGCGTTATTCCATTTTTATATTTTACTATGTTTGTGTTGGGAATAATACAAGCTATAAATGACAGGATGCTCAGTCTGTTTAAAATTGGCTAACTTGGAGCATGTCAGCTATTTGAAATAATATATTTTAATCTATATCCAATTCTTAGTGAATGTACCTCTAGACAAGAGTTATAGAACATTGTGTAAGAAGTAATAGGTGTTACATCCTGTATGTTTCTGTCTGTCGGATTTTTTTCCTGTGTTTCTCCCTTTGATTATAACTGCATAGTAATGTGTCATTTAGAATTGTGTAGTAAATATTTTTAAATTATAAGTGCATATTAATTTGAAGTGCATAGTTATAGTGAAATTGAGCTTTGAGCAAGGCCCGAACATGCAGATACACCTGCAAGCTTGCTATAGGTTAAGATGTTAAGATAAGATAGATGATTTTATTAGGATTGGATAATGCTTGTAAGACCACCCCTGTTTTCTCTTACACGGCCCATTTAATGTCAGAAGTCACTTTAAACCCTGCATTGTCTTGTCTCGTTCATTGGGGCTCCTCGCCAGCTGGTTTGGGAACAAGGAGAAATACAGAGAGTTCCAAATTGCTTAGAAGTCCATGGCATGAAATAAAGGAAAGTTTCTGATGCAGGAAATCTTCACTTACAGTTTGTTTTAAAGGGACAGTAATGATTAGGAGTGTCCCCGACCCTATTTGTGTTAAATGTCCGGTAACAATGAAAAAAGGAGATTTTTAGCCTTCTTACACCTACCCAGTTTTTGTTAAAGGATCGGTATTTGTACAAAGGAGATTGATGGAGAGAGATAAAGGATATTAGTGAGAGCAGGAGGGAGAAAAAGAAACATTGGATTCTGTCAGCATTTATTATTAGTGATAAAAGGAATTCGTTAATAAATAGAAGGTGGGGGGTCTCGAGAAGTAAAATCTGGGTATAAAATGATTGTGTGGGATGGGAATTTGGGAATAAAACGATGTGCCTCCTAGACTTCTCTCTTTAATCATGTTTAGAGGGACTGGAGCTGACGCGTTCATTGATTTTTCCAGTTTCCTGGTCGGAGAGAACACTGAAAGGGAGAATCTGTGGGATTTGGGACTTGTCAATAAACGGAAATGATTGAGATTTGGTGTCAGTGAAATGTTTATTCGGCATCTCGCACTCCCTGTCTAACAATCACATTAAACAGACACTCAGAAAGAGAATTATCAAAGGCAACTGTTTGAGACAATTTATTAAATCTGCTTTTTAATAATTTTTATTTATCTTTTGCTTCTTTTGAGCCCTAACTGTCATTTTTGACTATGCTCCTAATTTTTAGAAAACAAACTGAATTTATCAAACTCTTAGATACTTTTTCTATTTCCCTTCTCTTTTAGCCACCAATCTAAATTTGGTGAAGTGGAAACGGATATTTATCAAGGTGTTTTGTAACATAGTGATGAAATTCTATCAGAGGTCTAAACATATTTAGTAATCTAAAAAGTGAGGCTTATTTTGTTTCATAATAAATTAACATTTCAAAAGATCACCAAATTTTGAGTTAGAAAGAAAAAAAAGAACACTTTAGTATGGTGGAAAAATGTATACATTTTTGATATTGTTGCGAAAATGGTCTATAATCAAAAGTGACAATTATATTTCATATGGAGAAAAAAACCAGCAGATTTAGTACATTGCACAAAATATTTACTGAACATTAAATGAACATTCCAAGCACCAAAATATTGCTACAGCATGCTTGTCCCTCTCCCTTCCCGCAGTGCTGACTCTGCTGTTCCCTGTCTCTCCTCTCCCGCAGTGCTGACTCTGCTGTTCCCTGTCTCTCCTCTCCCGCAGTGCTGACTCTGCTGTTCCCTGTCTCTCCTCTCCCGCAGTGCTGACTTTGCTGTTCCCTGTCTCTCCTCTCCTGCAGTGCTGACTCTGCTGTTCCCTGTCTCTCCTCTCCCGCAGTGCTGACTCTGCTGTTCCCTGTCTCTCCTCTCCCGCAGTGCTGACTGTGCTACTTACCTTGCAGGATCCGGCTGTGTTACTTACCTTCCAGGACCTGGCTGTGTTACTTACCTTCATGGACCTGGCTGTGTTACTTAACTTCCAGGGCCCGGCTGTGTTACTTACCTTCCAGGGCCTGGATGTGTTACTTACCTTCAGGACCTGGCTGTGTTACCTTCAAGGACCTGGCTGTGTTACTTACCTTCCAGGGCCTGGCTGTGTTAGTTACCTTCCAGGACCTGGCTGTGTTACCTTCCAGGACCTGGCTGTGTTAGTTACCTTCCAGGGCCTGGCTGTGTTACTTACCTTCCAGGACCTGGCTGTTTTAGTTAACGTCCAGGATCTGGCTGTGTTAGTTACCTTACAGGACCTGGCTGTGTTACTTACCTTCCAGGGCCTGGCTGTGTTACTTACCCTCCAGGACCTGGCTGTGTTAGTTACCTTCCAGGATCTGGCTGTGCTAGTTACCTTCCAGGACCTGGCTGTGTTACTTACCTTCCAGGGCCTGGCTGTGTTAGTTCCCTTCCAGGACCTGGCTGTGTTATTTTCCTTCCAGGACTTGGCTGTGTTACTTACCTTCCGGGCCTGGCTGTGTTAGTTACCTTCCAGGACCTGGCCTGGCTGTTTACCTTCCAGGACCTGGCTGTGTTACCTTCCAGGACCTGGCTGTGTTAGTTACCTTCCAGGGCCTGGCTGTGTTACTTACCTTCCAGGACCTGGCTGTTTTAGTTAACGTCCAGGATCTGGCTGTGTTAGTTACCTTACAGGACCTGGCTGTGTTACTTACCTTCCAGGGCCTGGCTGTGTTACTTACCCTCCAGGACCTGGCTGTGTTAGTTACCTTCCAGGATCTGGCTGTGCTAGTTACCTTCCAGGACCTGGCTGTGTTACTTACCTTCCAGGGCCTGGCTGTGATAGTTCCCTTCCAGGACCTGGCTGTGTTAGTTACCTTCCAGGACCTGGCTGTGTTACTTACCTTCATGGACTTGGCTGTGTTACTTACCTTCCAGGGCCCTGCTGTGTTACTTACCTTCCAGGGCCTGGATGTGTTACTTACTGTTAAGACACCTCCAGTGTCTTTAGGCAAAACCACCGTTTAGTAGACCTTCCCCGTCTGCAGTAACAGTAACTCCGTTCGCCTAACCTGTAGTACACGAACCAAACGCAGGGGAAGCGGCAATCTCCCGACCGGGATCCGTGAACGGCTCCAAACTCCCGAATGGCAATACACGAACTGCTGCTAGCCGCCGAACAGCAATATTCACCAAGCGGCTTCCGTTCCATCCAGCAGTCTCTAAACGTGAAGAAGAAATCCCCCCAATAACGAGACAGAAGCTCCGCATTGAGGGTCAAACAGGATCTGGCTTTGCTGTGGGCTACCTGCCCGTATTTATGCAGGTCTCCCACTTGGTGGACACTCCCCTAGGGGACCAAATGGGAGACTTAAATGACAGATATGGGGACATTCCAGACACACAGTCACAGATTTTACCCACAGTGCATTATGATTCCCTCCCTTCTGCCCTGGAGATAATTACCAAGTAACTCAATTAACTCCAGGACAAAGCCAGTCGCCATCTTAAATATAAAATCATAAAAGACATAAAAATGCATAACTTTAAAATAACCGAACATTTCCCATTCGTATCACATATCCCCAGATAGCCTGGATCTGAGTGCATATTATTAGTGAATAGCGCTCAGATCCCACACACATAGTTCAATCGCCATGGAGTCAAAGTTCTTACAGTCTTTCGGTATACGAATGACTCCATGGGAAGGCTATCTGGGTTAAGTCTTTTCGTATGCTCCAAATCTCCCGAACAGCCGGTATTCGTATGCTTTCGTGGAGGCAGCCAGGCGTTCCGTTGTTTCAGCGGTGTTCGGCAGAAAAAGTGTCCGTTTTTAGTTCCATAGAAATAGAGCCAAACACTGCTGGGCTTTCGCTTGGTTTAAAATGGCCGCTGCCTCGTGGTCGACATACGAACGACGACCACCCTGAATTCGGTTTAATTGAGAAGTGTCTGCGGTTAACCACAACGTTCTAGTTTGGATCAATAGGTTAACCAGCAGCACACTTCTCTCCTGGGTGGCCGTCCGTTCGGCAGGTTTGTTCGGGAAAAAGAGTCATTCGAATGGCTGGGCTATAGAAACCAGCCATTCATACGAACGGGAGACAAACAGACGAATGCAACTAAAATACAAGCAGACAGATGGTTCTGTCACACTTACCTTCCAGGACCTGGCTGTGTTACCTTCCAGGACTTGGCTGTGTTACTTACCTTCCAGGGCCTGGCTGTGTTAGTTACCTTCCAGGACCTGGCTGTGTTACCTTCCAGGACCTGGCTGTGTTACTTACCTTTCACGGCCTGGCTGTGTTAGTTACCTTCCAGGACCTGGCTGTGTTAGTTACCTTCCAGGACCTGGCTGTGTTAGTTACCTTCATGGACTTGGCTGTGTTACTTACCTTCCAGGGCCCTGCTGTGTTACTTACCTTCCAGGGCCTGGATATGTTACTTACCTTCCAGGAGCTGGCTGTGTTACCTTCCAGGACTTGGCTGTGTTACTTACCTTTCAGGGCCCGGCTGTGTTACTTACCTTCCAGGGCCCCGGCTATGTTAGTAACCTTCCAGGACCTGGCTGTGTTACTTTCCTTGCAGGACCAGGCTGTGATACTTACCTTCCAGGACCTTGCTGTGTTACTTACCTTCTAGGGCCTGGCTGTGTTAGTTACCTTCCAGGACCTGGCTGTGTTACTTACCTTCCAGGACCTTGCTGTGTTACTTACCTTCCAGGGCCTGGCTGTGTTAGTTACCTTCCAGGACCTGGCTGCGTTAGTTACCTTCCAGGACCTGGCTGCGTTACCTTCCAGGACCTGGCTGTGTTAGTTACCTTCCAGGACCTGGCTGTGTTACTTACCTTCCAGGGCCTGGCTGTGTTACTTACCTTCCAGGGCCTGGCTGTGTTACTTACCTTCCAGGACCTGGCTGTTTTAGTTAACGTCCAGGATCTGGCTGTGTTAGTTACCTTCCAGGACCTGGCTGTGTTACTTACCTTCCAGGGCCTGGCTGTGTTACTTACCCTCCAGGACCTGGCTGTGTTAGTTACCTTCCAGGATCTGGCTGTGCTAGTTACCTTCCAGGACCTGGCTGTGTTACTTACCTTCCAGGGCCTGGCTGTGATAGTTCCCTTCCAGGACCTGGCTGTGTTATTTTCCTTCCAGGACCAGGCTGTGTTACTTACCTTCCAGGACATTGCTGTGTTACTTACCTTCCAGGACATTGCTGTGTTACTTACCTTCCAGGACCTGGCTGTGTTACTTACCTTCCAGGGCCCTGCTGTGTTAGTTACCTTCCAGGGCCTGGCTGTGTTAGTTACCTTCCAGGACCTTGCTGTGTTACTTACCTTCCAGGGCCTGGCTGTGTTAGTTACCTTCCAGGACCTGGCTGCGTTAGTTACCTTCCAGGACCTGGCTGCGTTACCTTCCAGGACCTGGCTGTGTTAGTTACCTTCCAGGACCTGGCTGTGTTACTTACCTTCCAGGGCCTGGCTGTGTTACTTACCTTCCAGGACCTGGCTGTTTTAGTTAACGTCCAGGATCTGGCTGTGTTAGTTACCTTACAGGACCTGGCTGTGTTACTTACCTTCCAGGGCCTGGCTGTGTTACTTACCCTCCAGGACCTGGCTGTGTTAGTTACCTTCCAGGATCTGGCTGTGCTAGTTACCTTCCAGGACCTGGCTGTGTTACTTACCTTCCAGGGCCTGGCTGTGTTAGTTCCCTTCCAGGACCTGGCTGTGTTATTTTCCTTCCAGGACCAGGCTGTGTTACTTACCTTCCAGGACATTGCTGTGTTACTTACCTTCCAGGACATTGCTGTGTTACTTACCTTCCAGGACCTGGCTGTGTTACTTACCTTCCAGGGCCCTGCTGTGCTAGTTACCTTCCAGGGCCTGGCTGTGTTAGTTACCTTCCAGGACCTTGCTGTGTTACTTACCTTCCAGGACCAGGCTGTGTTACTTACCTTCCAGGGCCTGGCTGTGTTACTTACCTTCCAGGATCTGCCTGTGTTACCTTCCAGGGCCTGGCTGTGTTACTTACCTTCCAGGGCCTGGCTGTGTTAGTTACCTTCCAGGATCTGGCTGTGTTAGTTACCTTACAGGGCCTGGCTGTGTTACTTACCTTCCAGGGCCTGGCTGTGTTACTTACCTTCCAGGACCTGGCTGTGTTAGTTACCTTCCAGGATCTGGCTGTATTAGTTACCTTCCAGGACCTGGCTGTGTTACTTACCTTCCAGGGCCTGGCTGTGATAGTTCCCTTCCAGGACCTGGCTGTGTTACTTTCCTTCCAGGACCAGGCTGTGTTACTTACCTTCCAGGACATTGCTGTGTTACTTACCTTCCAGGACCTGGCTGTGTTACTTACCCTCCAGGGCCCTGCTGGGTTACTTACCTCCCAGGGCCTGGATGTATTACCTTCCAGGACTTGGCTGTGTAACTTACCTTCCAGAGCCTGGCTGTGTTAGTTACCTTCCAGGACCTGGCTGTGTTACTTACCTTCCAAGACCTGGCTGTGTAACTTACCTTCCAGGACCCGGCTGTTTTACTTACCTTCCAGGGCATGGCTGTGTTAGTTACCTTCCAGGACCTGGCTGTGTTACTTACCTTCCAGGGCCTGGCTGTGTTAGTTACCTTCCAGGACCAGGCTGTGTTACTTACCTTCCAGGGCCTGGCTGTGTTACTTACCTTCCAGGACCTTGCTGTGTTACTTACCTTCCAGGACATTGCTGTGTTACTTACCTTCCAGGACCTGGCTGTGTTACTTACCCTCCAGGGCCCTGCTGGGTTACTTACCTCCCAGGGCCTGGATGTATTACCTTCCAGGACTTGGCTGTGTAACTTACCTTCCAGAGCCTGGCTGTGTTAGTTACCTTACAGGACCTGGCTGTGTTACTTACCTTCCAGGGCCTGGCTGTGTTACTTACCTTCCAGGAACTGGCTATGTTAGTTACCTTCCAGGATCTGGCTGTGTTACCTTCCAGGGCCTGGCTGTGATAGTTCCCTTCCAGGACCTGGCTGTGTTACTTACCTTCCAGGACATTGCTGTGCTACTTACCTTCCAGGACCTGGCTGTGTTACTTACCTTCATGGACTTGGCTGTGTTACTTACCCTCCAGGGCCCTGCTGTGTTACTTAACTCCCAGGGCCTGGATGTATTACCTTCCAGGACTTGGCTGTGTAACTTACCTTCCAGAGCCTGGCTGTGTTAGTTACCTTCCAGGACCTGGCTGTGTTACTTACCTTCCAGGACCTGGCTGTGTAACTTACCTTCCAGGACCCGGCTGTTTTACTTACCTTCCAGGGCATGGCTGTGTTAGTTACCTTCCAGGACCTGGCTGTGTTACTTACCTTCCAGGACCTGGCTGTGTTACTTACCTTCCAGGACCAGGCTGTGTTACTTACCTTCCAGGGTCTGGCTTTGTTACTTACCTTCCAGGACCTTGCTGTGTTACTTACCTTCCAGGGCCTGGCTGTGTTAGTTACCTTCCAGGACCTGGCTGCGTTAGTTACCTTCCAGGACCTGGCTGCGTTACCTTCCAGGACCTGGCTGTTTTAGTTACCTTCCAGGACCTGGCTGTTTTACTTACCTTCCAGGGCCCGGCAGTGTTACTTACCTTCCAGGACCCGGCTGTGTTACTTACCCTCCAGGGACCGGCTGTGTTACTGACCTTCCAGGACCTGGCTGTGTTACTTACCTTCCAGGACTTGGCTGTGCTACTTACCTTCCCTGGCCCCAGCTGTGTTAGTTACCTTCCAGGACGTGGCTGTGTTACTTACCTTACAGGACCTGGCTGTGTTACTTACCTTCCAGGACCTGGCTGTTTTAGTTACCTTCCAGGACCTGGTTGTGTTACTTACCTTACAGGACCTGGCTTGTTTACTTACCTTCCAGGACCTGGCTGTGTTACCTTCCAGGACCTGCCTGTGATACTGGCTGTGTTACTTACCTTACAGGACCTGGCTGTGTTACTTACCTTCCAGGACCTGGCTGTTTTAGTTACCTTCCAGGACCTGGCTGTGTTACTTACCTTCCAGGACCTGCCTGTGATACTGGCTGTGTTACTTACCTTACAGGACCTGGCTTGTTTACATACCTTCCAGGACCTGGCTGTGTTACCTTCCAGGACCTGCCTGTGATACTGGCTGTGTTACTTACCTTCCAGGACGTGGCTGTGTTACTTACCTTACAGGACCTGGCTGTGTTACTTACCTTCCAGGACCTGGCTGTTTTAGTTACCTTCCAGGACCTGGTTGTGTTACTTACCTTACAGGACCTGGCTTGTTTACTTACCTTCCAGGACCTGGCTGTGTTACCTTCCAGGACCTGCCTGTGATACTGGCTGTGTTACTTACCTTACAGGACCTGGCTGTGTTACTTACCTTCCAGGACCTGGCTGTTTTAGTTACCTTCCAGGACCTGGCTGTGTTACTTACCTTCCAGGACCTGCCTGTGATACTGGCTGTGTTACTTACCTTCCAGGACCTGGCTTGTTTACTTACCTTCCAGGACCTGGCTGTGTTACCTTCCAGGACCTGCCTGTGATACTGGCTGTGTTACTTACCTTACAGGACCTGGCTTGTTTACTTACCTTACAGGACCTGGCTGTGTTACCTTCCAGGACCTGCCTGTGATACTGGCTGTGTTACTTACCTTCCAGGACTTGGCTGTGTTACTTACCTTCCAGGACCTGCCTGTGATACTGGCTGTGTTACTTACCTTACAGGACCTGGCTTGTTTACTTACCTTACAGGACCTGGCCGTGTTACTTACCTTCCAGGGCCTGCCTGTGATACTGGCTGCGTTACTTACCTTCCAGGACCTGGCTGTGTTACTTACCTTCCAGGACCTGCCTGTGATACTGGCTGTGTTACTTACCTTCCAGGACCTGGCTGTTTTAGTTACCTTACAGGACCTGGCTGTGTTACTTACCTTCCAGGACCTGCCTGTGATACTGGCTGTGTTACTTACCTTACAGGACCTGGCTTGTTTACATACCTTCCAGGACCTGGCTGTGTTACCTTCCAGGACCTGCCTGTGATACTGGCTGTGTTACTTACCTTCCAGGACCTGGCTGTGTTACTTACCTTACAGGACCTGGCTGTGTTACTTACCTTCCAGGACCTGGCTGTTTTAGTTACCTTCCAGGACCTGCCTGTGTTACTTACCTTCCAGGACCTGGCCGTGTTACTTACCTTCCAGGACCTGCCTGTGATACTGGCTGTGTTACTTACCTTCCAGGACCTGGCTTGTTTACTTACCTTACAGGACCTGGCTGTGTTACTTACCTTCCAGGACCTGGCTGTGTTACTTACCTTCCAGGACCTGCCTGTGATACTGGCTGTGTTACTTACCTTACAGGACCTGGCCGTGTTACTTACCTTCCAGGGCCTGGCTGTGATACTGGCTGTGTTACTTACCTTCCAGGACCTGGCTGTGTTACTTACCTTCCAGGACCTGGCTGTTTTAGTTACCTTCCAGGACCTGGCTGTGTTACTTACCTTCCAGGACCTGCCTGTGTTACTTACCTTCCAGGACCTGGCTGTTTTAGTTACCTTCCAGGACCTGGCTGTGTTACTTACCTTCCAGGACCTGCCTGTGATACTGGCTGTGTTACTTACCTTCCATGACCTGGCTGTGTTACTTACCATCCAGGACCTGGCTGTGTTACTTACCTTCCAGGACCTGGCAGTGTTACTTACCTTCCAGGACCTGCCTGTGATACTGGCTGTGTTACTTACCTTCCAGGACCTGGCTGTGTTACTTACCTTCCAGGACCTGCCTGTGATACTGGCTGTGTT